GTGACACCACGCTTTGCCTTTCCTGCTCTGAGACCATGCTGGCCGATCTTGGAAACATCGCGAAGACCCACGATTTGCACATTCAGGTGGGTATTTTTCTCTTGCTTGTGCTTCTGCCAGACCTGTGAGGCTTCTCATTATCCGGCATTCTGGCAGTAATCTCTAATTCCACTGAGATCTAGAGGTGTAGCTTTATGGGACAGGGAAGGTCCTTACAGACATCACCTAAATCCAATTCTTTAACTTTTCAGCTAAAAAACCGGAAGTTCCTTTTCCTCTCATCTCTGATCAGGCTTGCAGAGATGAGGCTATCACAAGTAATCCAGCAAGACCTAAGGCAGACTGGCTCCCTGTTGTCTGTAGGATACATTTAATGCATTTCTTTCCTGCTTCTCTTTCATTTGACGCTTTCTCAGCATTCGAGCCCTTCATTTTTGAAGGAGCCACCTATTATTTTAAAAGGAATAAGAACCTCATTTCCACCTTACAAAATGCATTTAAAGGCCCCTTTGTTCCAAGTTTCTTAATTTAAAACCAGGAACAAAAAAAGTATATATTACTTTGTCATTAAGCAGGTGCAACTTAGGAATAAAACATGTTTTAAAGCTTCCAGCTGGGTTAAAATTGGAAGTTGGGAACATCCAAGCTTCATTATATACTGCACTAAAATTTCCCCTGGTAAGAGAAGACTATCTTATAACAAAGGGCAAGTCAGGGGAAAGGCAACACATTGATTCTTTATCATCTGTAGGGTAGAGGGTGGTGGTTGTTTTTTTGTGTGTTTTTTTAAAGATTTATCTTAATGGGTCTCATTCACCATTATCATCGTTCCCCATTCTCTTTCTGTTTGTTTGTTTGTGTGCATGTGGGGGAGGGAGGGGGCTGAGGGGGGCTGAGGTGCAGCCTGGGATATTTGAATTTTTTATTTAATTCCACAGTTGTAGGGGAGGGAAATGTTTTTCCTCAACCTTCTTGGAGTTCCTGTTTGGGTTTGGAAACTAAATGCAAAGATAGATTAACAGGAGGAAAGCATGCAAATTTATTTAATGTACGTTTTACATGACACAGGACCCCTCATAGGGAATGAAAGCCCAGAGAAATGGTTAGACCTGAGTATTTTTGAACATTACAGGCTTGATGAAGAATGCACGGTTGTGGAGGAATATGAGAGGTTCAGGGATATGACCTTAGGAAGCTTGGCAAGCCCTTCTGGTTCAGCTTCTTCTTGGATCCCTTTGTCATTAGAGATAAAGGTGCTCTTTCCCCCCAGGTGTAGGGTAGGCACCTCTCACATGTGGGTGTTATGACCTGTTTCGGGGAAGGAAGGGTGAGAGAGGCACCAGAGTGACATTCTTGCTTCTGCCCTTATCAAACCCCTTTACCTTAATGTGGCATTTTTCAATATGCCATATTTTGTGGCAGTAGATACTGAACCCCATCAACACACAGCAAAAGCAGGTATATCCTTGTGTGGGTGTATGTCTGTATGTAGGTGTATTTACTCAAATTTATCAAAATGACACAAATCATCTGGTTGTCCTTTCTTCTGGTGCCCATACATTTCTTCAGTGGTCTGGGCTTTCCCAAGGCCAAGGATAGAGTTCATCCCATAGGTGGGAGACTGCTTTTTAGAATATTGCTGGGTTTTTCTTTGATTTATTTGGCTATGGAGAGAGGGAAATGGCACTGCTATTCTTGGAAGTGGTAACTTGCTCATGAGTTATTTCCCATAATATATATCAGAGGTCCTCAAACTACGGCCCCCGGGCCACATGCAAATACAAATATTGTATTTGTTCCCATTTTGTTTTTTTACTTCAAAATAAGATATGTGCAGTGTGCATAGGAATTTGTTCATAGTTTTTTTAAAACTATAGTCTGGCCCTCCAACGGTCTGAGGGACAGTGCACTGGCCCCCTGTTTAAAAAGTTTGAGGACCCCTGATATATATCTACCACCAGTTGGCCTGAAATGACTTTTGTGTTAGGCCAGGGGTGGGTGTGGTTCCACTTCCGTGTTTGTCTCTGAAACACTCCACGTGCTCTCCAGTTTTGTGGTGCCTGGAGAGAGGCTGGTGTGGGAGCCGGGACTCACTCGTTTTGCTTGCATGTGAGTCTTCACGGGCTCTTTCTAGGTGACTGCAGGATTGTCTGGCCCAGTTGTTTTCAAATTGTTTCCTGCAGAAGAACTCATTCTGGAAGCCAAAAAAGGGGACAGAATGGAGACAGAGTCCCAGAGTCCCAACCCTGCTTCATCATGAGAGGCAGCTTGTTTATGCCTTTTACATCCTGGATTTCTATGAATTTTTATCAGAATAACATGGCCAAAGCTAAAAGAAGTTGGAAAATGCTTATCCAGCCAAACCCTTTTATTTGAGAGATGAGGAAATGGGGACCTAAATAAAAGAACTGACTCACCCTAAGACCCATGACTAGGGTCAGAACTTGGCCTAAAATTCAGCTCTCTTTATTCAAATCCAGTTTTCTTATGAGTGAAAGATGCCGTCTGTCCTGTTGATGGCCTCTTTTCTTAAAGGACAACAGCAGAAGAAATAGGTGGCCACAAATAGCTAGGCTGTTAGCTTTCTTTAAGGAACACTTTTTATTTTTGTTTGTTCTTACTATAGTTTGGAATTTGAAAAGACCTTGTTGAAACATTACATGGGTTAGAATATTGCATGCTTGCGTAATTACATATTCATAGTTTCCTTGTCACATGATTGCTTTAAATAAATGTACAGTCTTTAGTGTCTTTCTATGTCGCCCCTCACATAGACAAGTAGAAACCATCCATACATTTTGGGGTAGGACGTATAATTTCTAGTGGCATTTTACCCTAAAAATAGAAAATTTTTTTTTTCTCGTAGAGCCATATAAGTGAAAATCCTGATGAAGTTGAAGCTGTGAAAAAGTTATTCCCCAGTTATAAAAACTATACAGATGTGTATGATAAAAACAATCTTCTAACAAATAAGGTAAATTGCATCTCATGACACAATCTGTATCAAATAGGGCGTATATATCTGAATTCTGAGATCTCAGTAGTGCTCTTCAGACTTCTATGACATGTGCATTTCCCAGACTAAAGCTTAGAGTGTGCATATGTGTGTGTGTGTACATAGTTAAAAATGGGCCTGAACTCTCATCCTGGTAAATAAGTCTAAAGGCTTCACTGAGGGTGGGAATGTCATTTGGTCCAAGGACATTTTGTCAGTGTTTATTAGAATGTAACTGTACATTTCTTTGAATTAGCAGACCATATCTAAGGATCCATTCTGCAAGAAATATGATTAGGAATGGTAATTACATATGAAAATTAAAAAAATGGTTCTCATGGGGGATTGTTTAGATGATAGAATTTACATAATTATAATTTTATCCAACGTTCACAAAGAATGAGGCGTACAGGCTTACAAGATGGATGTCTGTGTGTATACGTGTGGGTGCATGCTCACCTAGAAAAACTGCATGGAAGACACATATTGAATGTTAAAGGTTATTCTTCCTGAGGGAGAAACAGAAGGACTTTCTTTGTATTTTTAAACACCTTGAGATTGCTTTTATGAGTGTGGGTTGTTTTCATAATTAAACCATTTTAAGTTCATTAAAATTAATGTGAGTGAGCAGAGACCTCATTAGAACAAGACACCCCTTGGCCGTGGCCTTAGCTATGGCAGCAACTAAATTCTTAGGGACTTGTGAACGGAGATGTGGCTATGACTAATTTGAAAGGCTAATATTCTGCATAAATCTCATACATGCTGCACCTTAATCTTCATCCTCCATAACATATATTTCCATATGATTAATACATTAACCTTCAATTTGCATGTTTCTTTGCTTTGCACAGAGGTTATGAAAATTATATTTTAATAATAATTATGTGGCCACCGAACCATGCCTCCTAAAGAAGAAAGCTAATCAGATACAGGTTTTGTACTGAGGACAAAGGAATTTTGAAAGAGTAAAGCCTTATTCAGGAAAACCCACCAATATTACCAAGCCTGAAAATGAAGAGAAGTCTCTTATGTGTGCAGTGCCTGCTTTCTTGGATCAATTTTACCTTCTGAATTCATGCGTATAAGATATTACATTTCTTAATTTTTAGGAAAATGTAAATATAGGTGATGAAATAACGAAAGTATGTTCGGTTATGTATCAAGTCCATTGTTCTTATATCTAACTTGGGGCAGAATTAAAGAACAACTCCTTCCAGGATCACTCCCCCAGCTGAGAAAGGAAAGCTCACTTCTAGAAAGCACTGATTAGAATAGGAACAAACACAGCCCCACCAGACACCCACTAGATTTAGAAAAGAAAGTAACTTGGTTATTTTCTAAAGTGGAGATGAAGGAATCACAATATCTTCAAACTGGATGGGTGTTCTATACTGTAGATGACCTGGATCAACCCTCCTTATTTTATAGATTAAAAAAGAAAAGAAAAGAAAGAATATGATGATAAGATCTACACATGTGCTGGAACTTTTGTAATCCAATGTCTTGACATGTACTGAGTGATTTTATACAGACAGGTAATCATAAATGTTCTTGTGAAGATGCTTACAGACATCTTCATGCACACGCGAGCAGGTCCAGATGTCACAGCGTCTCTCTGTGCCTATACTGTCTTGTTGTGAGTGAGGACTAACTGAAGCATTTTTAAGTGGTAAACTCCACACAGCACACTCTTCTCTCCAGACAGTGATGGCGCATGGCTGCTACCTTTCCGCAGAAGAACTGGATGTTTTCAGGGAACGAGGAGCATCGATCGCACATTGTCCCAATTCTAACTTATCGTAAGTAGGCAATGATTGGTTGATAAATTACGAACATTTGGGTTGCAAAACAGCAGCCTTTGTTTTCTGAGTCATTCCTTCAGTGTCTCCCTTCTATAGTTATGTTTGATTGGGGTGGGAGCTAGATAGACAGGTGCATACCTTTGCGTCTGAAGAAAAAGAAAGCACTTAACAGGGCATTTTTTGCAGAGTATGTCTTTGAAGAGCACCACAGCTCTTAAAATTTCTGAGTTTGTGCAAAAGAGGAAAGTGGAAATGCAACAGAAAGAGTTCAGAACCAACAGCATTCAGAACTTACAGCAGGGCCCGAAAGGGCACACACTCCAGCAGGTGTTCCAGGGAGAGGTGCTCACTTCCCATTGCTTTGTGTTGTGCAAACTACTAGAAACACTCACACTAGTAGAAATGATGCAGTGCTACTGGAAATCCACACCCTACATTCGGTGTATGTCACCTGCTGGATCAGATAGGATGCCAGTTCATGTGAGAGCGACCTTGCCCTTAATAGTTCACCAGAATGCAAAAGCTTTATTTATAACTGGTTTTTAACATTTTGAAAGGTTATATATTCACAAGTTAATCGGATGAAAGTTATGGCCTGTATCTTCAGGAATAAAAGTCCAGAGATATAGACATGCTGCACCTAATTTCAGGGAATTCATAGATCCCAGGATGCTGACCCATGGATGCTAGGTTAAGAATTCATGGTCCAGGATTAGATACAGGCAGGCGCTCCCCTTTCTGGTATTAGTCAAGCCAGAACAGAGCTGCTTCCTCTTAAAAGAAGGCTGGGGTGGATCACTCATATATTCATTCAATACATTTATTTAGCTTCTGCTAGATTTTCATCTTTTCGAGGGTTACTTTGTGTTCTCTTGATTTGAATTCTTGCAGTAGACCATGAGATGAGGATTCATGTACAAGTAGCTTATTGGGGAGGTGATCTTAGGAAACACCTTTAGGGGGGTAAGACAGAGAAGGGAAGGAAGTCAGGAAAGAGTGCATCATTAACCGAGTTACCAGCATGGGCTCCTGGAGTCTAATCCTTCTGGAAATTCCAGGAAGTCAGTGTCCAAAGCAGACCTCCAAGTCATTCTGCCCAAGGTGTGGGGGACCTGGTTATACCCAAACACCCACCAGTTATTGTTGGGGGACCGCTGGGTGGGGTGAAGAGGCATTGATTCCCTGGAGCTTCTGACCTTCCCCAAACCGGGGCGGAGCAGGCTCTACTGGCTGAAGAGAGCCCTCAGCAAAGAGTTGGAGGTGTCAGCAGTTAGAAGTCTAGGGACCTTGTAAATGAAAAACCCATGTCAGTGGCAGCATGGGAAGGCACAAGAAACACAGTGACTTATTTCTAGAGTGTTCTGAGAGGTTCTAGAGGCTTCCAGTTTTGAGACATCGAGTGGTAACACATGACAGGGAATTCTGCCCATATACAGCTTAGTGATCATAATTATGATCTAGTGGCCAGATAGGGGAAGGGTTTAATACCCTTTCCGTTAGTTACACAACATCTAAACTAAAACGTGATCCAAATCAAGGTTTAAAGTTCTTTATGGATACATTTCTGTTTACATGGCCACTGTTATTCTTTCTCCAATAACTTTGAGAGTTTTATGGCGTGTACATTGGGGCTTTGAAAATTATAATCATGTGTGTCTTTGAGCAGACCACTTTGACCTTTGCATCTTTTCAGACTTCTAAGGATCGCTTTAGTTTTCCTTCATTTCTTCAGAAAGGCACATATCTAGTAAGCTCAGGGCCACAAGGTCCAGATTTCAGCACAGGAACCATCTCTCCTAGTTTCTGCTTCCTCAGTGGCCTCATTTGATCTGGCAGGCCTGGACTCACCAGCCTGCATGCCCTTTTCCAGTTATACTCCCTTTCTTTGATCTTAAAAGTCACTACTCATTCAGGGTAACAAATTATCTGAGACGGAGAGGAAAGACAAAGCTTTATCATTTCTACTTCCTAACATAGGAGGATGGGTTGGTTAAAAAAGTATTAAAGACCGGTAAGACTTTTGGACTAATTGCAAGATTTAATTTCTTCATTTACTTTTCCTTGCAAACGATCCCCTGCTTCCTGTTTTTGCTCTTGCTCCTTTGTACCCTCCTGAGACTAACCTCTGTGCCAGGAGTTAAGCTCCTTTGTGGTCTGCTTTTACTCCAGGACTCAGATGTTCTGATCTGATGAATGTGTTTGTGTGTCAGCATTAGCGCTGATGTGACGGAGAATACAAGTTTCAGTGACATCTCCATCACTGCTGTTAGGGTGCTTCTCTTGTTGGGCCCACATAGGTGTCCTGGTCCTGACAGTCTCCTCTCTCTGCAGGCTCAGCAGCGGCTTACTCAATGTGCCAGAAGTGCTGAAACACGACGTGAAAATAGGGCTGGGCACAGGTTAGTAGTGCACCATTTGGGGCCATGGCTAACTGGTTGCTTAAGTGCATAACGTTCTAATGGGACTCATTTTCAGGTTGCATTTCCATGTTAAAAAATTAGTTTTATTTTTCTGGTAACAATATCTTGAGCTAATAAAATAGTGAGATTGAAAGCAGTAAGAAGATATATGCAAAGGAAGATGTTTGGATATCACTAAGCTTCTGAAAGCTATTCTCTGCATTTACTGTCAGGGCTCTCAAGCAAGCATGTCAACTCGCGGCCTGTGGCCCGCATGCCTCATTTATTTGGCCCGTGTTAGCCTTTGAGTTTGACATGATTGCTCTAAAGGATAGGTCCTTCTCTACTGTTTTAGAAATTCAATTAAAGAGTCCTTGATTTTTTTTTTTCTCTTTTGTTTGTCCTTCTGGCAAGGCTTTAATAGTTTGGATTTGTATGTTTTTAGTTTTCAATAAATGTGCCATCACAAATACTGTATCAAAAGAAAATTATTTGGCCTTGCCATAGCAAGCACAGACTCAATTTATGCCAGCGTCGAGACTCTGAGTTACAGAACTTGCTTTCCTTGTAAGCAGTGTTTAACAAAATGAGATTCCATTCCCACGGGCAGTCTGATGCTTGCTAGGCTGAAGGACATTCTCAATGGCTGATAAATTAAGGATGCCTCTTTTTAAATGATTTTTTCCCGAATTTGTGCAGTGCTACTAACTTTGAAAGCATGCGTCAGACCCAAATGTCTACGCGTATCAACTGTGAACCTTTTACTATTGTGTGTGAATGAACTAAATTTTTTAAAAATATATTTTTATTTATTTCAGAGAGGAAGGAAGAGGGAGAGATAGAAACATCAATGATGAGAGAGAATCATTGATTGGCTCCCTCCTACACGCCCCCTACTGGCATTGAGCCTGCAACAGGGCCTGTGCCCTTGATTGGAATTGAACAGGGACCCTTCAGATCACAGGTCAACGCTCTATCTGTTGAGCCAAACCAGCTAGGACATAAATTTCTTTTTAAGTTGGTGTAGGGCACAAGGACTTATTTTCCATTCTTGATGCACTTGTCCTCCTAATATTCAAGAGCATGTTTGCTTATTGACAATGATAGTCTGGAATAACTCAAGTCTTAGTTAACTTTATACCAAGCAATTCCTTGGTAAGACACACAATAACACAAAGAGATTTATTAATATTTTTAAATAAGTATGCTAATGTAGAAGTTTTCCTTAATTTTATATGAATTAAAAAGAATTAATTTTTTAAAAAAAATTCTAATTTAAGCCTTGAATCACTGAGATTGTGTAATACCTGGATATATTCACAGGTGCTAAGGCAGGAAACTGGCTGTTTTACCTTAACAGAAAAGCTTTACTAGATAAGGAAAAATGTCCAAGAGTTTGTTACATAGTATAGTCAATTAATGAAAAATTTAGTGGACATGCAAAATAAGGTAGGTATTTGCTTTCAAATTTCCTGGGAGTTTGGTCTCTACGAGTTAAATTCATCACCTAACTTCTAGTTCTTGGCTTTTGATTGTGTAGCAATAGCTTAAAACAATTAGGTAAAGCTCTCACTGTCACTTATTAGATGTAAGACATTGAACAAATTAATGTTCTAAGGCAGGGGTCCTCAAACTTTTTAAACAGGGGGCCAGTGCACTGTCCCTCAGACCGTTGGAGGGCCGGACTATAGTTTAAAAAAAAACTAGTCGGCTGCTAAGCAACAGGCAGCGGCGGCAAAAACACCCGGCGGGCCGCCAGATAAATGTTTTCGGCGGGCCGCAGTTTGAGGTCCCCTGTTAAGGCTTCAATTTCTAATTTCTGTAGCAATAACAACAATCATAACAATATCTATCTTATAAGCTTATTTTGAGGCTTAAATGAAAAAAATCTGACACGTACTAGTCAATAAAGATTGGCTTACAAGGGAAATAGCAATGTTGGTATATTGACCAAATGTTTGCTTAAATATGATGAATTTGCTTATTAAGTTGGAGAATGCATTTCACATCATCTCTGCTGTGGTAGCCACCCTATGCTCCACTATTTCCTAAACATGACCTTTGTGTATGAATTTGCACTTCATTTGTAGACTTTAGAAGATTATTTAAACTGATATCATTGACAGAGAGCAGTTTCATCAAGTGTAGGTAGGTCCTGACTTGCTCCATATTAAGAGGAAACCCACAGGAAGCTTAATGAACATATTGCAAAGCAAGAGAAAATAGTATCAAAAAGAATAAAAAGATGAGCATATTTCTGCAAATGATTTACTTTAGGGTCCAGAAGAAAATTTCAGAACATTACCATCATCCTTGGAGTACAGGAAGACATGGCACTATGAAAAGACCACATTACAAGGCGACAAAGCTCTGCACATTTGACACCCATCCATCTCCGAGCCTCTTCTCCCAACACTCTCACCTCCCTAAATGGGCTATCTTTAAATTCCCTTTATGAATCTCACTCCCTTCTACCAAAACAATCTTTGTGCATTCTGTTCCTCTGCCTGGAATGCCCTTTATACCTCTGTTTACATGGCTGAGTTCTTCTCACTCCTGTATTAGTTTAAATGCCGTTACCCTAAAGAGGTCTTCTCTGACCATGTCTGTCTAAATGGGCTTTCCACCTCCATCTTCTCTGTCACTAACTGAACACAGTTTATAGTTAATACTTGTTTGTTTATTTGTCTCTTTTCTTCCTCCTCCACTAGCTGGTCAGCTCATATGGAGCCCATCAGTTTTATTTATGAGTACTTATTCTCATAGAAGATGCTCAGTAAGTGACTGTCAGTGAATGAATGAATGCATAAGAAGTTAATACACACATATAAAATAATTTCCTTTTATCTTTTCATTGCCCTCTGGCTCAAATTTTTACTCTTGTATGGTTTGTTTAGAGTCTTCTTGTAAATATTGTGTCCTTATGCTGACTCTGGTAAACAAATAACAATGCCATTCTTTATCATGATCATAGAGAGGCATGGGTTGGGAATAGGTTTCTGAGAAAATGCATCCATTTTTCTCTACCATTTCCCCATGCAGTTTCTACCCTTAAGTCCTCATTCCCTAGCACTTATGTTACTCAATTGAATTTTTCCAGCAACTTTCAAAATAGATGATATTATTTCTATTTTCTGAGAAAATTGAGGTTCACAGGTACTAAGTAACTGAACAAAGGTCAACAAACAAAAAAGTTCCAGATCCACAGTCTAAAACCAGGTCTGCAAAATGTGATGTTCATTATCTCTCTTTTCACGCCATCACACTGCCTCTCATTATATGATAAAGTGGGGATTCTACCTGCACTAATGTGTTGCAGGCAGGAGAAGCCACTGAGCTCACCCAGCTGGGCAGAGATCAGGAAGTTACTATCACAATGGAAATCCCTGGAAGAAAAGTTTGACTAAAATACCACGGTTTTTGTAGTCCAGGGTTTCTTTTTTATCTGCACAATATTGTTCCTTTGTTGGAACTTTATTAACATAACAACCAGAAGAGTATAGGATGATTAAGTCATCCTGTAAGGCAGCAACATAATAAGACAGCTCTCAAAATTTTCTCAATAAATTGTTTTCTAAATCCAATGATGGGTGTCTTATAAGAGAAAATGAGAGACACTTGAAGACACAGAGGGAAGACAGAGATGAAGTTGGAGCCAGGTATTGGAGTTACACTGCCACAAGCCAAGGACTGCCAGGAGCCGCCAGAAACTGAGGGAAGTGAGGGAAGATTCTTCTCGGGAGCCTTTATAGAGATCGTGGCCTGTGAACACTGATTTAAGACTTCTGCCCCCCAAAGCTGTGAGAGAATAAATTCCTGCTGTTCTGTGCCACCAAATTTGTGGTAACTTGTTGCAGAAACCCTAGGAAACTAATGCAGGTGCACATTTGATACTAATTACTGGTTTTTAATTCCTTTACATGTTAGTCTATGTCTAGTCTGTGTTTATAGATCTTTTCTTTGAAGTATATTAAAGACTCAATATCTGTCACTAAAACAAACAAAACACTTAACCTATTAATAGTTGGTTGTTACAAAATAGTGATGGGGCTGTAAAGTACAACATAGGGAATGAAGTCAATAATACTGTAATTGCTATGTGTGGTGCCAGGTGGGTACTTGAAATATCGGGGGTAGCACTTTGTAATGTATATTATTGTCTAACCACTATGCTGTCCACCTGAAACCCATGCAAAATAACATTGAATATAAACTGTAATTGAAAAATAAAATTTAAAAATTCAACCTTATATACTTAATATTCCCTGTATCTCATAAGGTTACTGTTTTGGCTTTATTTTCTCTATCCTAGATGTGGCTGGTGGTTATTCACCTTCCATACTTGATGCAATCAGAAGAACAGTGATGGTTTCCAATACCCTTTCATTTACTAAGATAAATGAGAGAAGCCTCACCCTCAAAGAGGTATTCAGACTAGCGACTCTCGGAGGCAGCCAAGGTAATAACCATTTTTTTCCTCTAACAATGTACACCATGCCAATCTGTGTCCTTGGATGCACCATGAAGGTACATGCATCCAATGTTCATGACGGTTGCATCTCATATAGCATACCCCAAACTTAGCAAGTAAGTCCATGTTCAAGCATGTGGTGGAGGCATAATTCTTTCAGGATGCTCCCTTTCTTTGGCAGAAGAGATGATTAATACACAGTTACCATATTAATTGTTTTAATGGATTTATTTGCATTGGTCACATGCATACAAGTTCTTTAAAATAATCAGTTTTTCCATTGAGTCAAGTAATACACTCTATTGCCCCAAGTGAAGATGATGATAATAATACTAATAGTAAAAATATGCCCAGCTGGCATGGCTCAGTGGTTGAGTGTTGAACTAAGAACCAGGAGCTCACAGTTCGATTCCCTGTCTGGACACATGAGTTGTGGGCTCAATTCCCAGTATGGGGTTTGTGGGAGGCAGACAATCAATGATTCTCTCTCATCACTGATGTTTTTATCTCTTTCTCCCTCTTCTTTCCTCTCTGAAATCAATAAAAATATACTTAAAAAATAAAAATAATAGCCAAGAGTTCTTACTATGTGGTAGGCACTATGCAACATGCGTTATGTATGTTGTTATTTACCTCCAACCACTGTTATTAATTCTATTTAATCAACAAGGTACCTGGTGGAAGCTTACACGGCTCTCCAGCTATACAGTACCATCATTTGAATCCAAAAATCTGATGCCAGAGTGTAGGCTCTTATCCTTTCACTGTGATACCTTCCTGTGTAAATCCCAGCTGAGAGTATGCCTTCTTTATGTAATTAAGTACAGTAATTACCCAAGTCTCTTTAAGTGGAGAAAGATGTTGAAATATAGTGGGTTGATATGCAAATATTGTTCACCAGCTTTTCCCAGTTCTCACATGTAACTATTTTTATGGGGGAAAAATAGAAATTAGTAATTGTATTGCTTTCAGTCACTTTAGCATTGTGGTGTATTCTAGATGAATGATAGTGAACATAGCATGAAACCTTAGGTAGCTTATGTGAGATAACAACATACATATCAAGACAAATATAGATAGAGGCCTAGTGCACGAATTGGTGCACAGGTGGGGTCCTGAGGGGGATGGGGGGGCCAGGATGCGATTGGCCCTCCAGGCAGGTGGTGGGATGCCCTTGCCAGCCTGGGATCTGGATCCATCCCACTGACATTTGCACTGGTTGTCGGGAGCCACCTGTAGTCACTTTTATATTGTTTCTTCCTTGCGGAGCTTCTAGGGAGGGGAAGTGCCCGCAGTGCCCGAGGCCAACTTCCAGGAGGCCAGCGGCGCTGGTCTGTTGGTGCCTGGCCCATTCTCCGGAGATTGGACCTGCAGGACTACTGAAGGAGTGAGTGGCTGCCACCTGGCTGGTGGACCACTGGGATGGGTTGGTCAGCTGAGTGGTGCTCCGGCTATGGGAATGCACTGACCACCAGGGAGCAGCTACTGCATTGAGTGTCTGCCCCCTGGTGGTCAGTGTGCGTCATAGGTTGTTCAGTCCTGAGGTCATTTATGCTTTTATATATATATAGATGTGTAGATTTATATGTAGCTAATCTGGGTCTTAAAAATGGAGGAGGATGAAAACCAAAAATATCCTGTGAAGAGAAACTTCCTGGCTCTTCTTTGAATGCTCAGGGCTATGATGAATATCATCAAGAACCTTTCAAGACAACCAAGTAGAGGTCATGCTCATTGCATTTCTAAGTCTTAGGATTTCATGTGAAGCTCCATGTTCTAAGTCACCATTCTTTTAACAAGTATAGCGCTCCTCACCCCCACCCTCACTGTGTTTGTGCATCTGAGTTCAAGCAGTTGGCCAACCATCTTATTTTCATGGTGCAAATGAGTTGTATTTAAATTGTGCCTTCTTTTTTTCTTTTAGGCTCTCTGTGAGTTGCTTCATCAAGATTTTTTCTGTCTGATCAAGCCAGCCTAGGGTGCTTACCAACTCATTTCTGCCTTGCTGTATAGCTTCCAAATCCATTTTCTTGGCTGCAGGGCTTACTGTTATGGAATTTCTTCTCCTTAACTCATGTCTCTACAAGAGTCAGAGTGAAATGAGATTAATGGATTTCTATTTAAAGTGTGTCATCTTCCTGGCTTGCCACGACCTTTATATTCAAGATGTTGCATAAATCCCCTTCCCAGAGCCAACATTCACTCTAAAGGCAGCAAAACTGTATTTCCTGAAATGCATTTAAGGTGTTTACCAACCCAGCTGGGCCTTACTGCAATGATGTTAACTAGGTCCATTTACAAATTCACCAAAAGCAATTATGTCTTCTTTGGTTAGTTCATGCCTGAAATCTCCAGGTTCGAATAAATAGTTCAATTAGTTTATATATATTATCAAACTCTGACAAATGAACCTGGTTATCTGGTCTATTAAACACACAAGTTTAATACAGTTATTAAAAACATATTTGTCATGTTTCTTTGTCAAGGGCAAATGGGTGAAGGAGGAGAGAATTTCCATTGATTTTTTTCTATAACATTCAGTCCTTCTACACACTATTAGTAGAAGTCACCTAACTGCTTTTAACATTTCTAATTATTTTTGCTCCCCTGTCTTCCTATAAGAATTTTTAGCTAAAAAATATCTTTCTTTTCTGAGAATAAAAGAGGTGCCCTTTAAATAACCTTTTAAGAATAAGTAGGGTTTCTAAGTCAGTGATTAGCACATTGCCAATACATATTCATACATCCATCTATATATATAAAAGCCTAAGTGACCATCAACTGGTAGACTAAACAACCAGTCGTACTGGTCGCTATGATGAGCACTGACCACCAGGGGGCATATGCTCAATACAGGAGCTGCCCCTGATGGTCAGTGCGCTCCCACAGCCAACCTCCCACGGTCCCTCCCCCCAGCCAGCCAGCCCCAATTGGCCCCAATCGCAGGCCAGGCTGAGGGACCCCACCCATGCATGAATTCATTCACTGGGCCTCTAGTAGAAATATAATCTAGTAGAAATATAATCTAGGTATTGTCTAACAGGGACATGCCATCCAATATTTTCACATTGGACTGTATCCTGACAGTGAAAGAATAGAAAAAACACATGTAAGAATTTAAATAAAAGTGCTGCACTCCAGTTGACCCTCCCTTTATGCATGCTTCCATTTCGTACCTCAGTGTATACCTTTCTCAAATTACAGGCTTTCCTGAGCTCAAGATTCAATACCTTCATTGACCAGGAAAGTCAACTATTCCCATCTTGTGAAACTAAATCATGTTAGTGAAAGAGATGCTCTTTGTCATCTAATACACATGGAACATGAATGCTAGCCATGAGGTGAATCAAATTAATAGACACATCAACCTATGCCCTATTTTAGAAAACCATTCTTCTCTGGCAACCAGAAAATCTTTGAGGTTGCAAAGAAATTGGTTTGCTTTTATTTTATTTTTTAATATTGATTTTTTACAGAGAGGAAGGGAGAGGAATAGAGAGTTAGAAACATCGATGAGAGAGAAACATCCATCAGCTGCCTCCTGCACACCCCCTATTGGGGGTGTGCCACAACCAAGGTACATGCCCTTGACTGGAATCGAACCTGGGACCCTTCAGTCTGCAGGCCGTCGCTCTATCCACTGAGCCAAACCATTCAGGGCTGGTTTGCTTTTAAAGGATTGGGGCTTTTAAGTCATGAGCATCTGTTTACTTTCAGAAGTGAATTTTTTCTCTTCCAAGGATTTAACCTAAGGAACTTATGATGGATATGTCTGCATTGGCCAAGGTGCAAAAGGATAATTATTTTTTATTTATTTGAGGTTTATTTCACTGCCATGAAAATAGATCTTGTCAGCTATTTCAGAAAACGAAAGGATCCAGAAGGGCAAGGATAGGAGTATTGTGGGGGAGACTCGGAGGCAAAAAGAAAAAAAGATATGTTGTCAGTTGCCATGTTTCTTGGAGGGATGAATGAAAGTCATAGACCAGCTGGACTATGAAGTGCACTGATAGAGCTCAAATAGAGAGACACTATCAGAATTATGATCATGGTGATGAAGGGAAGTGTTTTTATTCTCAGATTTGCTTTCCCTGTGCTTACTCTGATTTCTGTAAGTCAAAGTCTTGTGACCTGTTGGAATGAGAGAGTTTTTACGCTTCACTATTAAGATACTAATTCTTTTTTTCTTTTTTTTATGTACTTTTAAAAAAATTTAATTTTTACTTCTTGTTGTGTACTTTCTTAATACATTGGAAGTTTCATTTATGCAAAATTAATAATATGAATTAGGAAAACGTATGTGTTTTTTTTTTACTAATTCTTTTTCTAGTGACATGTTGGCTGACTTTGTCCTTGCAAACTGGGACATTGACATGGTCTGATGGCTCAAAATACTAACTGTTTCTTAATTTATTCCACCCTGTAGCCCTGGGGCTTGACAAAGAAATTGGAAACTTTGAAGTGGGCAAGGAATTTGATGCCCTCTTGATCAACCCCAAAGCATCCGATTCTCCCATTGACCTGTTTTCTGGGGATTTTGTTGGTGACGTAAGTAAAAAAAAGTTAATCAAAAGGCATCTATTTCCTGAAGTAATCACAGAAGCTTCCTTGTAGAAAACAAAATAGAAACAATCATTTTAATGGAATACAAGAGACTCTTAAGAAGGAAGTTAGATTTTTAAAAGTTAACATAATTTCATGACAATAATGTTAGTAATAATGGTACTAATAGAATATTTGTATTTTGAATGTATTTGTATATTTTAATGGTTTGGGCTATAAGAAACCGTAATATAGCTAGCACTTACTGAATACACTTGCTGGGTGCTAGATGGTATAGCATTAAGCACTTGCATACGTAATTTTGTTTAATGATCAAAACAACTCTTATGAGAGGCAGATACTATTTATATTGCCATGTAATCTGTGGGGCAGTGAGGCTTAGGGAGGTTAAGTGATTTACCTAAGGATTCATGGCTAGTAATTAGTAATTAGTAGACAGAGTTGGGATTCAAGCCCAGGACTTCATGACTTCCAGAGTCTGGGTGATTGACCACAATGCTACATTGATTTTCTCAATTATAAGAAAATGAGTTTTATTACTTTGTTCCTTTTATTATAAAGTGTTTCCCTATATAGAAAATAAACTGGTTCTTCTTACTTTAATAACAATTAGTTATAAAATATTGAGTTTTTCTAAAAACATTAATTACCATTTATAAATTGATCCACTTATAAAATTAAATATGTAATATAACATACTGGGGTTTTTAGAAGAAAGATGCTGGTTGTTATTTTTATATTATTTATTCTTTTGCTCCTTTAATAGAATGGATTTCTTGGAATAAGGCTCAGCCCTACTCATTCAATCATTTTTCTTATATTATACATTTCTTAAAATATTTGCATTATTTCATTAATTAATTTATGTAGCACTTTTGTTCTAAAGTTTCCAAGGTTTTATATACCAAGAACTTTCAGGCAATAGATAAACATTTGTTAATAGTCACTATTTCTTTTTAAGCAAAAGACCACTTCTTTTTCATTAATAAAAGTAGATTTTACCATTGAGAAATGAATTTATATTTCTGGGTTTTGCCAACCCACTACTGACTGAATTTTTCTAAATGCACAAAAATAATTATTTCTTATTATTACCTTTATTTTCCATTTTAGGCTTTTATCCAGAAGTTTCTCTATCTAGGTAAGTAGAAATATGTCTCTATGCTAAATAAAATCTTTCTTTGTCTCTATCTTGGGTATGACTCTCTGCATTTATGATACCACATGTAAAACCCTGTGTGTGATCATTTGCTTTGGTTTTTTAAAAACATTTCTCAGCATGGAGTCCATTTGTGGCACAATATTTAAAGACACAATGTGAAATTGGCGTGCTCCTCTAGAACATACAGTCATAAATCCTAATCTGAGGAGTGGCAGGCCCAGGGGATGGCTAATCACGCCTCTTCCCCCTACACTCGTTCTCTATCCCGAGCTGCCCTACCAGGTCGTATTCACGATAAGGATGTGGTGGGATCTTCTCACACATGCTTTTTCACATACATTCCATTGTATTCACTGAGGGAGGGAAGTAAATAATGTATAAGATTCTACTCTGCCTCCCCCTTGGTTGAGTGTCCTCTGAGCCCTGAGTGAACTTGGGATGGGAGAGACACCTGTTGCATTCCCTGTGGAGCTCAGTTCTCACAGGTCCTGCATCTCACCACGCTAAGTGTATTCTGGGGTGTAAAGCTAAGTACTTCCTTTACATTTGGGGCTAGAAAGGCAAACCACTCACTTCAGCTGAAAGGACAGTGATAGGGGTCAATTCAGCTTTATGTGATTTCTGCCTTAGCGGCAGATTTCAGACTCCAGTTCTCAAATTAGATGCAGCATCTTCTATTGGTCATGTCCCCCTGTCTATATTTTAAACAATCCGAGAGAAACAAAGGCTGTCTTTTTTATGTTCTCTTTTAGAAGTGTGTTTTGCTTTTAAATCTCTCCCAGGGGCAATTAAAATACTTATTTCAGAGGGGAGGAGGATGGGAAGAGATTAACCAAGTAACTTATATACATACATGCATAGCCCATGGACACAGACAATAGTGTGGTGAAGGCCTAGGGTGGGGCAGGTGCTGGGTGGAGGGAGCAAAGAGGGGGAAAATGGGGGATATCTCTAATATTCTCAACAAGAAAAATATATATACAGGGTATCCCCCAAAATGTGTATATATTTTGAACAATTATATATTCCAATGGGTTAAATCTGAAAAGAAAGAAACATCAATTGAGCTCTCAGCTGTGCAAGTGTTGTATACCTTTTGGGGGGACACTTTGTATATATCTTTAAAAATACTAATTGACACAAAACGGTTCCATGATTTTTTCTTTCAGGAGATGACCGAAATATTGAGGAGGTTTATGTGGGCGGAAAGCAGGTGGTTCCCTTTTCAAGCTCAGTCTAAGACCCTCGGCATCTCCAAGTTCTCCTGGATAGCGTGGTTCTGCGCCCTCTTATGCCCAGGCAGAGTTAGAGCGTCAAAAAATAGTACCTTGTTCTTGGGATGACTGTCTCTTTGTGTGCTTACTCACAGTGCTCACTTGACAAATCGAAGGAAGTTGTGCTCATTCTCAACTCTCTGGTTGGGAGGATTCAAAATGTGTCCCTGCTGAGCTGTTCAGATTTACTTTAAGCTTAAATATAAGAGAATGTTATGGCTAGTGGTGTTCTTATTATGAGATTTAAGTAAAATCTACCTAATATTTGGAAATGTGAAGAGGAAAGATATTCCTGTGAGGTTCGATAGTTTGAACTAGTAAATGTGAAAATTGGATATGGAAAATGAACCAGTGAGTATATTTTTGAGGGAGAAAAAGACTACAAACATTGGAAAATCATTTTCAGATTGCTCGAATTATATACTGAGTTTACTAATTTAAAAAGAGAACTCATTGAGATGTAAAACGTGTTTCTAGGTTGCCTTTGTGTTCTGGAAATTTGCACTTAATGGGATTTGCATTTCAGAGACTTCTTATTGTTGTGCTTTGCCTTCTTTGGGGACGAATTGTCAGAAATTGAATGCCACGTGCTTTCTTCATATAGTTCTGTGCTTCAAAGTGTTTGACAGAAGTTGGGTAGTAAAGATTTAAAGTCTCTTAGGAATAATATTCACATAACTATGTGGCATAAATAGCTGTATTTTTGTGTCCTTTAAGTCACCTTAATGTGTAACTGGGTGATGCTGTTACTGCTTCAGTTTTATTAGAAGAGAAACAAATTCCACACTCCGCTGTTGGGTAGACTGAAGTCTTCATAAACTAGGGACAAGTGCTGGGCACTCACGAGCTGTTAATACTGAAAGGAAGGGTTTCATTGCAATGACCTCGTCTCCCCAAGGACTATGCCAGTGATGGCGAACCTATGACACACATGTCAGAGATGACATGCGAACTCATTTTTTTGTTGATTTTTCTTTGTTAAATGGCATTTAAATATATAAAATGAATACCAAAAATATAAGTCTTTGTTTTACTATGGTTGCAAATATCAAAAAATTTCAATATGTGACATGGCACCAGAGTTAAGTTAGGGTTTTTCAAAATGCTGACACACCCAGCTCAAAAGGTTCGCCATCACTGGACTATGCCATAGTTGCTGGCAATTTCATACTCAGATCAATCTGTTAGAACTTTTAAATGAAGGCAAATCCTATTAAAAGAAATATTAAAACTCTTTAAACCTTGCATATCGCAAGCACTCTATTTTCCCAATTTTATCCTATTGTAGTTTTAATTCCTAAGAATTTTAGGACATTGGAATTTTAGTATAATGAAAAATATGTAGACATCCCACATAATGTTTATATTAATAGGACTTAATCTGTACCAGACACCTAGGAAGATTAAGCAAAGCAAAGAGTATTTTTCTGCCTCCTAACTAATTAGTGTACTTTCCCATAACCTAGAATTAAAAACAAATTATGACTATGATAAATCCTTTACAAGTATTGATGTGAATGCTATTTAAATACTATATTTTTCTCCTTTAATTTCAAATAATATAAACTAACAATGAAAAGGAGTAGGTTTTCTTAATATTTCATAGCACTTATTAATACCTTATAATAGAGAACTTTATGCTACAGAGCTAACTCCATATATAGAGAACTAAGGACAAAATTTTCCCTCTTGCATATAATTTTATTCTCATATAATCATGCTTATTCAGCAGTAATTTACCCAGTTATTGTTGTTGTTTTTCCTTTGTGGAAGCACTTTTAGAGTTGACTATGCTTGACTACAAATATTTACTTTGATTTTTTTCAATGACAGATTTTTTTTTAGGATATTAAATAACTCAGTAAATCTAATTTCTAGACTCAATAGCTGTATTCCCAGAATTCCTGAGCCATGTCAAAGATGGCCCACCAGACTTCTCCCCATTTCTCTGTAGTGCCGGCATGAGTTTTCTGCTCTATCTCTTAATCCGTGCCACAGGAACTCGATTACCTGGTGTCTGACCCACATGAGTGGGCTTAAGAATTTGGATGAGCTATTCAAGATTCACGAACAGGCAGCAGCTGTCCCCAGCCTTTGCAAGATCCTATACTATTACCTTCCTCAAGGGTGTACATTTTGAGGTTGAACATCAGTTTTCATTTAGATTTAGGATTCATATGCAGTAAATATAAATAAGTGTAGTGTCAGAAGCAGGAAGAACGGCCATATACAAGCACTTTGTCAAATGTTAAATTTAGCCCTGATAGTATGTTAAGACCTGAATATCTTGTCTAATAAATATAGAATGTCTTGAAATGTTACATGTGCTTTGATCTTCCTCCATCACTTAGAACTTGTGTGCTTTATCCTCCAAGTGCCGCGTTCCTGAATGGTGCATATGCTCTTTGCAGTACTTCCGGCCTTAGCCATACATGGGCCCAGATGTTCTGCACTTTGAAATGTGGCCTTTCCCTAATGTGGGTTGACTTCCTGAATTGTGGGGAGACAGTATCCCCAGCCAATTCTGTTACTTTGTGTTTGAATATTTTGCTTTCTGACAGGAAAGAATTAACACTTCTAATCAGCCCCCTCACTTCACCCTACACTCTTTTGCCTCAGGTTTTGTGGTGTTTTTAATGGAATACACTTTAAGAGGCCAAAACATTTCCAGTAGGATTGACTGCCATACATTTAAAAGAATATATTTGCAATTAGAACACAAAAGCAGGCTAATCAGCTAAGATGAATTTAATTTTCAAAAGAGAGTGAGCCCTAACCGGTTTGGCTCAGTGGATAGAGCGTTGGCCTGCGGACTCAAGGGTCCCAGGTTCGATTCCGGTCAAGGGCATGTACCTTGGTTGCGGGCACATCCCCAGTAGGGGGTATGCAGGAGGCAGCTGATCGATTTTTCTCTCTCATCGGTGTTTCTAACTCTCTAATCCTCTCCCCTCCTCTCTGTAAAAAATCAATAAAATATATCAAAAGAGAGTAAAACGTGGAGGAGGGCACGAGAGGCTGTCCTAGTCTTCGTGAACTGAGGCCGAGGAGGCTCGGCTCTCATTTATTCTCCCAGCTTTTTCTCTGATTCAATTGTCAAAGGTTTGAGAATCTAGGAGGATATCTTGGAACAAGCTCCCTTCATGGCAGCAGGAGGTCTTTCTAAATTGATACCATGAGCATCAAACCCCATTGACTCTCTGTTTTACTGCCATGAGAGTTCTGCACAGTTAAGAAAGGAAGGCGGTAGGGAAGCACTCCTGAGTGCTTTGCGGATGTTGAAGTGTGCCTGCAATATCCCTGTTGGCAGCTAGAGCTGAGACGTCAGAGAGGAAACAATGGGTGTGAGGTCCAGGAACGTGTTTTGAATCTTCACTCCTTTCCAAATTCTTCCTGTTTTGCATCGTTTCATCTCAGAAGCAGACATATGGAAAGCCTGAAGGGCAAGCTGGAAGGCATGTTGGATCCGGTCTCTCTTACACATGGAAGAGATGCAGCGTCAGGTGCTTCTGTAGCCTATTGGACACCGTGTCATTGTTGTCCAAGTTTTAAAGCTGCTGATGAGGCCAGGAACGTTCACATGTTTAATAAGAGTGTTCCGAGTCGTGAAAAGGTGGACTAATAAATGTGGCATGTCCAAAGTCTTGACGTAAGTTTTAAATGGCGGGCATCATTGTGAAAATTTTTTCCCCTGAAGGCTTACAAGAGACATTTGCAGTTTCCAATTGGCCTAGCCATTTTAGGGATGACTTTGAGCCCTGACACACGTTAATGTCTCTACAGGACAATCATGGAAGAGGCGCACAAATGAATAGACACTCGTAGGAAACCCTGGCATCGGTCCCCATGCGTGTTTTCATGCCCAGGCCCTCCGCCCTTTTTCTCCCACAGCCCCGAGTGTGCGGGGGCAAGCACTGAGGGGTTAGTTCCGGTCCAGATTTAGTGGAATGCAAACGCTGAACAGAGTAATGATGAAGCTAAATATGTATAAATCCCAAGGTGGCTTTCACCGTCCTTGGGGATCAAGAGACTGAGTACCGATGTTATATGGCAGTACTTACCTGTCCATTTCCTTCTCAAAAGCCTGTCAGAAAGCGTTCTTTATTGAAAACCACTTCACATTGTTGTCAAACTCCTGCTCGCTGCTCTGAAGAATAAATATCTATATGTATGTATTCATGGGGACGTTTTTCTCAACATTTGTGTGGTTTCTTACTGTTTATGTGCAGGGTGAGCTCCTTTGTGCTTTAGAAAAAAATAAATGCGATTTTGTGTTTACAGTATTTTCTTGTTGTGAGTCCTATCAATCTGATAGAAGGGGGTTAATCTTACAATGTTTTTCTCCTTTTAACATGAATTTTAAAAACCAGAATAGAATATTTAGCCCTGGGCCACCATATGTCTTCCAACCTATGATAATCAGTATACATAGCTTTTAAAAATTAAGGTCTAATGTTCAGTCCTTTAGAATCATAATGCTACTGCTTTTGATTTCAGCATAGTTAATATTTTATATATGTTTTAAGCCTCAACCCAGAGCGAGAATGCTTTAACATCGAGAATTAGTTCACATGCCCTGGCCAGTGTTGCTCAGTGATTAGAGCATCGGCCAGTCTACCAAAGCATCCAGGGTTTGATTCCTGGTCAAGGGTGCGTAACTGGGTTGCAAGTTTGATTCCTGGTCCTGGCTGGGACATGTGCAGGAGGCAACCAATCAATGTGTCTCTCTCACATCTCTTCTCTCTCTTTCTCTGTTTCTCTCCCTTTCTTCCACTCTATCTTCTATGTAAAAATCAATGTAGAAATATCCTTGGGTGAGGATTAATAACAACAACAACAAAAAGAATTAGTTCACACATACATGTATATTTAAAACAAAAATCTCAAAAATAACAATTTTCCTATCTCTGATGGCCTGGGCTATTTTCTGCACTATTTTATTCTGTTCTGTCCTATTCTTTTAGATTTTATCTGTTTAATTATTTTTGGTTTCTTGAACCTGCATGGAAGCAGTTTCCAGTGTCCTTGAGCTTATGCACTCAGTCTCCGTGCCTCCATCCTGTGAGTTGGGCATGACATGCACGCCTGCCTTAGAGTCATGAGGGCCAAATAAGCAAATCCATAGCCAGAACTTAAGATAGCACCAGGACAAAGTGAGTGCCCACCATAGAGTAGTTATTTCTTAAATGAATACACACTGAACAGAAACAAAAATAATTTTAAATGTATTTTTATCAGTCTAGTTTTTAGAACCTTAATCAGGTGATGCTACAGATCTCTCTGTACATAAAAATATTCTTTAAGGATTAAATCTGATTTGGGGGCACTATTATGTTCATTATTTTTTATTTATAACATGAAGCATAAGAGAGTAGTAGATTTGGTCTATAAGTTCACCCTCAATGTTCTAAGCACTTACTAAGCACCATTTTTCCCCCTCCTAAAGAACAACTTAGTTAAAATACCCAGAAGAGAATCTTTATGTGCATAATCTTGCAAAATGTGTGCCTCATTTACATACTGTGGGCGCTGTGAGTTCTGTAATAGGTAATTAATAGATGCATGCAAATTACTGCATGGTACTAAATCCAATATTTAAATAAAATAAAGTTTAGACATAAAACAGGGCCAGTGGTAGGATATTTTAAGGCTCCATTGGGGAAGCCACTCAGTTAAAGACACAGGACCCACAAGTAGTTGTCACCAACAGGAGCAGGGTGTTTTGTATTTTGTTTTTTCAAAATCTTATTTTAAAATGGGATAAGTGAAGAATTCTCTGTTCTTTAATGTGATAGAACATTATTTTAACGTGTAATTTATTTTTTTCACTAATTCACACTCATGTGCTTTTACCATCAAGCCTGCCTACACCATCATGGTAAAATTACATTAAATCTGTCATACTTCCATATTTTTTCATGCTTCTATATTAGTTGAGTTTATATCTTGGGTAGGAAGGAAGGTCACTATAAAAGCATTCTCTATAGCAAAACCTTTGTTGGGAAATTTTTCAGTGGTAACTCAGAAAAA